TGTGAGGCGAGTTGTGTGGTCCGGTGGAGAAGGAAGATAGCGGCCATAGCCGCGGAGTATCGACACAGGGTATTGAAGAAGAGAGAGAGGGAGGACAAAGGAGGGACTGAGGAGAGAGAAGAAGAAGTGTGGAAGGAGGATACCGGAGAAGAAGACAGACATAGCCGGGGGTCAACAAAAAAAAAAAGAAAAAGAAAAGAAAAGAGATAGAAGAAGAAAGACAGCGAGGAGGAAGAAGGTGAAGGAAGGGGACGTAAGCGGCGAGGGTGACGAAGGTGAAGGTGCCGGCAGCCATAGCCGAGGTGAAGGGTTGATCGGGCGTTGACCAGAGGGTTGACCGAGGGTTGACCAGAGGGTTGGCCGAGGGTTGACCAGAGGGTTGACCAGGGCGTTGACCAAGGGTGTTGACCAAGCATGACTGGGGGTTGTCCGCGTTGACCAGGGGTTGACCAAGGCGTTGACCGGAGCTGCTGACCAAGATTTCGACCAAGCTGGAGTTGGTGATATCTCGCTGAGCCCTTAGCCTATCCCCTTACCCTGTGGATGTGCACCTACTTGCTGAGTCTGTCTGTCTACTCTTTCTGCAATGAGTCTCTTATGTCCTAGGTGTTAGGACTCTGTGGATGAAGGATAGGGCCTTGCTGCCAAACCTGCACGGGAGTTAGTAGGACTAATCTCTACTCTGGCATCTGGAGACCTGGGCATGGGCGGCGAGCGCTCGTTAAACAACTCGTCTAGCCCAATGACCGGTACTGTTCGGCAGGTCTACTCAGTTTCAGTGTAGAGGGTCCGAACTCCGAGCTGTGGGCTGAAACGAAGGCCGTCTTTAAGTGTTGAGGCCTGGTTGAACCACTCCCCTACCGGACCTAGTAAGGCTGATGATCTGTGCCTGACAACTCGACTGTCCCGAGGGATACGAACCCCTCCAAGGACCGGTACAGACCGGCGGGCTGCTCGGTGTGGCACAGTAGGCCGGAACGGTTGAGTTGTGGGCTGAAATCGCTAGGAAGAACCAAGCTGATCACGTCGTCCTGTCTGCGACGTTAAAGAATTCTTGCGGAGTTTGGGGGATCTCCTTAAATGCCTCCAGATCAACTTTTGGTTCAGTAGTGACAACCTTAGAGTAGTCTTGGGTTAGTGACGATAATTGACAAGGTCTGACACTGTGGTCCTTAGAGAGTCAGTCAGTGGGTTAAGTGTCCGGGTAGGTCTAAGTGGTGAGGAGTGAGACTCTTGTCGTGCACCTGACACCACGATGGATGACTATCCGATGTATGGGTTGCTTGTTGGGTTCTCCCTCTGGGGGACCCTCTGGCGTCTCCTCCTTCCCCTCGGATTCTGGCCCACACTCATGTGTAGAGTAGGAACCCGGGGTGGTACCTCCACCACGCCCTATTCGAAGGAGGAGGAAGAGAAGATGACCGCCATTCTGAGAGAGAGGAATGAGAAGAAAGAGGCCAAGAAGAAGGCCCTACAGGAGGAGCATGCGGCCAAGTTAAAAAAGATAGAAGAAGAGATGGCCAGAGAGAAGGAGAGGTTAAAGAAAGAAGAAGAGGAGAAGTTGAAAGAGGTGGACGAGGAAGAGGAGGAAGATGAAACGCCACTGCAAAGAAAGAGGGGGCAGTCCAGTGGCAACAGGGATGATGAGATGAAGAAACAGATTTTGGAATGGGTCGCCAACTTGTCCCTGGGCGAAGAAGAAGAGGTGGCGATGTATATACCCAAGGATGACCAGGAAGCCGCTATGTAAGCGTGGGCAGCCGAAGGAGATGTCATCAAGCGACAGACGTTGGAAGATGAGAAGAGGATGGAGTGGAAGTTGGCCGTGATGAGGGAGAAGAAGAGGAGAGTAGACGCGGCAGTGGAGGCGGCAGAAGAATTAGAAGAGATACAAAAGATAGAAGAGCAATTAGCCGCCCAGACTGAACTCCCAAAGAAAATGGAAGTCATAGCCAAAAACTTTGCACGCTTAGCACGAATCCAGGTCGAGCAGTATGACTTTAGTAGGAGTCAACATATAGCGGTACGTTCGATACGGTTGGGATTCCGGGACTTTGCTCGTGAGTTGGTGGGTGCTGTAGGAGCCGAGGTGGGCCACCGCCTCGACAAGACTGAGCGGTTTTGCGCTGGCGCCATTGAAGGCGTTAAAGCGGCAGCTCCCAAGGAGGAGGAAGCACGTCCTCTTCGCCGGGAGCCGGTCAAAGTCAAATTCCCTGATTCCTACAGTGGAAAACGGGAAGAAAACTTTGACAATTGGGAGGCCAATGTCAAAACCTATGTGCATTTGCAACAGGTCTCCCCGGATCAGCAGGTCCTAATTGCGATCCATGCGCTTAGAGATGAGGCCGCCAGCTTTGCAAGGTCCCTAGTTCGCGCTGCCAACTGTAGTGACGATCCAGTTGCGTACTCCTCGTTCATGTCCCTCACTGAATTCTTGAAGCTGCTGCGCGAGCGATTTGCTGATGTCGCTCGCAGTGTTAAGGCCTCCGACAAGCTCCAGACGATCCAAGCCCGTAAGTGGAAGAGTGCCAGGGCACTCAAGAGCACAATGGACGAGTTGGTAGCTGTCCCTGACCATGGGGTTACAGACACCCAGTTGGTCGCCCTCTTCTATAGAGCGATGCCCGAAGCTTTTCGCGGGCACTTCTTCGCGAAGAGCGAAGACCCTGCCACCACTTACGATTCCCGTAGCCGTGAAGTGGTGACCTTTGAGGCAAAATCTGTGTCAGTTTCCACCCTCTGGCACAAAGATTTGGATAAGGGGAAACAATGGAAGGACCGCACTATCTCTGGGCAGGTGAAGACTAAGGATAGCCTTGTCCTAACTTTAGATGAGGGTAGTGTGGATGAGATCCCCTACGATCAGATTGAGTGGGGGTTAGAGGAGGAGGACAGCGGTGTGGGCCAGGGGAGGACTTACGCTGCTGTCGCGGCTGGAGGGAGGCCGCAAGGAGGACGAGGCCAGGGCCAAGGGGGTCGGGCCTCAGGGAGCCGGTTTCAGGGCGATCAGGGGGTTGGCGGCAGAGGAGGAAACCGCCAAGTGGGAGGGAGGGGTCAAGGTCCCCCGCAAAACCGTCCTAAGAATAGGTCTCCCTATAGAGTAGGAGGATGGCACCCGGGGCTGCCGCAGGGTAAGCCTTGGGAAACTTTGGGTCTGGACCAGACTTTATGGCAACAACGATTGGACCGGGGCCAGTGCATTTTTTGCGGTGACCCGGGCCACATCATCAAATACTGTCCCAAGTATCGAGAGACCCGAACGACTGCTCAAGGGCCAAAAGGCAGCCGCCGGTAGGGGTAGCAACTGCCCCTACCATTAGGCCATGTGGGGAACACGGCGCTAACCGGCAGGAGACTCCCACACCACATGTGCCTATGCCAGAGGTTGCAGGCCGGTGTCTAGATGGCTGTCCAGAGACTGCTTATGTTAGAGTTTCTCTAGACACCTCCCTCACAGGCGTGGCCGAAGAGTTGAAGGAGAGGATGCCCGCCTGGGCCAAGATGAGAAAGGAGAATAAAGGGCAGCTTATATTAGTAGATACAGAGATTTTTAGAGGCAGAGTAGGGGCCCTAGTAGACTCAGGGGCCACCCGCAGCTATATTAGTAAGAAAGCGCTGCAGAAGTTGAAGCTGGGACTTAAAGTCCAAAAACTAGCATACCCTATAGTTAGTATCCTCGCAGACAATCGTACTATGGTTGTAGAGGAGTATGTAGAGGGAGTCCATGCGTATTTTCGCCTAGAGAAGGATGGGAAAGTGGAGAAGATTCTCCACTCCCTGACTCTCCTCGTAGAAGACAGCCTCCCATTTGATATTGTCCTGGGAATGGATTGGGGAGAGGCAGCCGGGGCCACGCTCCATTTGAAGGAGCACGAGTGTAGGCTCCCTAGTTCTTCAGGCGAGGCTAAGACTGCCTGCCTGTTCCACGTGTAAGGAGTAGAGAATCCATTGGCGCATTGCTGCCTTAGTGCACCTGCATTCGCCAGATTAGTAAAGAAGGAGAAATTGGAGGAACAGGTCTTTGTTGCCTATGTTAGGCCAGTGACTTAGCCTACGGAAGAAAAACCGGTGGACCCTGCGATTGCCAAGCTGCTTGAAGAGTTTAAGGATTTAACTGAGCCGCTGACAGGCACGGTGCCGCGGCCCATCCAGCACCGTATCAAGATAGAGCCTGGCAGTAGAACTCCTAAGGGTGCTGTGTATAGAATGTCCCCACGGGAGTTAGAGGAGCTTCGCAAGCAATTAGACGAGCTCCTCGAGAAGGGTTGGATTAGGCCCAATTCGTCTTCTTTTGGAGTGCCTGTTCTCTTTGTTCCTAAGAAAGAGGGAGAGCTAAGAATGTGTATAGACTATAGGGGTCTGAATGCTATTACCGTGAAGAATGTTGAGCCACTGCCTAGGATAGACGATCTCTTAGATCGAGTGCAGGGGGCAAAGTATTTCTCCAAGATAGATTTGAAGTCCGGATATCATTAGATAGAAGTGCATTCTGATGATCAGTATAATACCGCCTTCCGGACTAGATATGGGCACTACGAGTTCATAGTGATGCCCTTTGGACTAACCAATGCGCCAGCTACGTTCCAGCGCTGTATGAACGATTTGTTTAGGCCTTGGTTAGATAGATTTGTTGTTGTCTACTTAGATGATATCTTAGTGTTTAGCAAGACACTCCAAGAACATCAGGGTCATCTCAGGCAGGTCTTGGAGAAGCTGAGGGAAGCTAACTTCAAGATCAATGCAAAGAAGTGCGATTGGGCAAAGACCCAAGTTTTGTACCTAGGCCACGTCTTAGACGGAGACGGCGTTAAACCAGAAGATTGAAAAATCGCAGCGATTAGAGATTGGCCCATGCCGCGCACGCTGACAGAGTTGCGCTCGTTCCTGGGCTTAGCTAACTACTACAGGAAGTTCGTGAGGAACTTCTCCACCATCGCTGCACCCCTTCGCAGATTGTTGAGAAAAAAACCCATCTGGAAGTGGGACAAGGACTGCACGTCTGCCATGAAGAAGCTAAAGCAGACATTGATAGAGTACCCGGTCCTTAAGGTAGCCGATCCGTCCTTGCCTTTTGTCGTTACTACGGATGCTAGCCAGTACGGCATAGGCGCGGTGTTGCAGCAAGACGATGGCAACGATTATAGACCCGTAGAGTTCATGTCCGCCAGAATGCCTTCAGAGAAGGTCGCGACATCTACCTATGAGAGGGAACTCTACGCTCTCAGGCAAGCCTTAGAACACTGGAAGCACTACTTGCTTGGGAGACACTTCAAAGTCTACTCCGATCATGAGACGTTAAGATGGTTAAAGACGCAGGCCAAGATGACACCTAAGCTTACTAGGTGGGCCGCAGAGATAGATCAATATGACTTTGAGCTCAAGCCAGTCAAGGGGAAGTATAACGTAGTTGCGGATCCTCTAAGTAGGAGAGCTGCATTACTTAGACATAGGGAAGGACCTGCAGCAGAAGATTAGAGAAGCCTATGCACAGGACCCTATCTACAGTGACCTCCTTAAGAAAGTCAAAGAGGCCCCGGAGACTGAACCGAACTACCGCACTACCGAAGGGTTGCTCTTTGAGAAGACTAATGTATTTGACCGCCTGTGCATTCCCCGTAGTGAAGAGATTCGTAGTCTGATTCTGGGAGAATGCCACGACACAGAGGGTCATTTTGGTTGGCAAAAGACTTTAGCCAATCTAATGCGCGCATATACCTGGCCAGGGATGAAGAATGACTGCGTAGAGTATGTTCGCAGTTGTAAAGTCTGCCAACGTAACAAGACTTCTACGCGTGCTCCGCTAGGTCTTCTCAGACCCTTGCCCATTCCGGACCAGCCGGGAGACTCAGTATCCATAGACTTCATGGACACTCAGGTCGAGAGCAGGCATGGCAAGAGCCAAGTCATGGTCATAGTTGACCGTTTTAGTAAGTACGCAGTTTTTGTTCCTTTGCCTTCAGAGGCACGTACTGATTTAGTCATACAGAGGTTCTTTGACTGTTGGGTGAGTGAGAATGGACTCCCACTGTCTATAGTTAGCGATAGAGATAGTCGCTTTACTAGTCAGAACTGGCAAGAACTCATGGGAGTATATGGATCTAAGCTGTTGATGTCGTCCGGCCGCCATCCAGAGACTAACGGTCAGACCGAGCAAATGAACAAGATCCTACAGCAAGTTCTGCGCATGTACATTAGGCCAGATCAGATTAACTGGGATGAGATGCTGCCTAAAGTAGCTAGTGCGTACAATAACAGCGTGCATCTGTCCACCTGCCGCACTCCCAATGAACTGCACAAGTCCTTTAGGCCCTGTAGACCCTTTGAAGGACTCAACCGGGATCAGATTCACAGATTGCCGCCCGAGACCAGGGAGTTTGCTGTACAGCACGAGAAAGAACTAGCTACTGTTGTAGATAACCTCAGGAAGGCCCAGCATAGGATGATAGAACAAGCAAACAAGCATCGTCGCCCTTCACAGTTTCARGTAGGCGACTTAGTCTGGGTCAGTTCTAAAGAGTTTGCACCTGAGGAAAACATCTCACAGAAGTTACTGCCCACCTATAGAGGACCGTGGCCAGTCTTAGAAGTCAAGGGCGGCGAAGATGGACCGTCCTATACCATAGAACTCCCAGCACACCTCCACACTTACCCAGTTTTCCATGCATCGAAGTTGTTACCTTGTCAAACAAGTGATCAGTTTCCATCCCGTAGATCGATGATCCCACCGGATATGGATGGAAGATATGACATCGATGGCATAGTGGCTGAAGATGTATTCAGAACTGGAGGTAGAGGTCGTCCACAGAAACAATACAAGGTTCATTTTAGTTATCAAGAACCGGAAGACGACCGCTGGTTTAGGAGATCTGAACTTCTAGAGACAGCTCCCGATATAGTCCGGGCCTACGAAAGACAACAGAGAAGTAAAGGTCCTGCCTTGGACTGAAATTTTTTCGGAGGACCTCGAATTTAGGCCGGCGGAATGGAAACGGTATTCACCAGTTCGCAGTAGCTTATGCAGATCCCAGGGCTCGATCCCTAGTTCCCCACCTTACCTGTGTACAGTACTGGAGTCAACCCGTAGATTTGAACCGGCTACCTGTAGTACCGCCAGTGGTAGGTAGTTTTCCGTAGGTCACAGGGTAGAAGGTATTCGAACTGTAGACCTGTAGGGTAGGAGTCTAGACAGTTAGAGGTCRTAGCTGTAGACTGCCTGAAGGGTCAAGGTCGTAGCTGCTACTTACCTGAAAGGGCAAGGTCGTAGCTGCTACAGTACCGAAAGSCCAAGTTAGAGGTTTCTAGAAGTGGCCTTTCGGAGTGAGTCTGCGTTCAGCAGAGGCAAGTGGTCAGGTGGTGGTAGTCCACCTAGTACAGTCAGTCCCAGTCCACCCAGTTCGGTCCAGTCCAGCAAGTACCGTCTGGGACTGTGTGCACGATGGGCCAGGCGTACAGGGCAGACCAACGCAGCACAGAAGTATAAATCAAGAGGCTGCGCCCAGCCATTCATTCATTCCTGCAGAAGCCATGCGGAAGCGCTCCCTCAGCGGCTTGTGCGGGGAGGTCTGCAGAAGGCCCGAGGACGAAGTGGGCGAGAGTGACATACCGTAGCCATAGCAGTAGGGTAGCGGCGGCCATAGCCGCCATAGCTGTAGCTTAGGGGAAGTGTGTGTGTACTGAGTGTGTGTGCTGAGTATCGCGTGTGGGATATCCAGGGTGATCCAGAGTGTGAACAGTGAGTTGTTTGAGGCGCTCAGTCGCCATAGCCAGAGTAAGGGAACTGTTGCCTGGAAGCCATATCTCTGAATTCTGTGTGGGCGCATGTCGCCAGTTTGTGTTCTGCTGTTCACGTGCATGAAAAGTGTGAATAAGTTGAGTCTAGTAATCTGTAGTTCGGGTAACACTCTGTGTGTATGGTAGGGTTATTGCAGTCTGTATGGTAGGGTTCTTGTAGGCCAGATTCAGTCATGATGAGGGTCGCGATTTCTCAAAACGTTCTCTTCTTATTACTTCTGAAGTAGAAAACGACGGAACTGACAGCCGTTTTTCCTGGAATGGAAAAAAATCAAGAATTTCTTTGCACGAGTGTCGCCCGGCACGTCCAACCTGTCAGAACCTCAACGGTAATTGCAGTCTGTATGGTAGGGTTCTTGCAGGCCAGATTCAGTCATGATGAGGG